ATGCTCGAAACAATCTGTACGGCTCGGTCCAGTGTGGATTCGGGTTCCTCCAAAAGGCGTTTTATCATTAGGTCGCTCCGAATGCTGAGGACGAGCCTGGCTTTTAGGTTGTCCAGCTTCCGACCGAACTCACATGGATCCGCCAGCTTACGCAGCTCGACGATGAAATCCAAAATTGCTTCACCTTCGTTCTGCGTTCCGCAATAGAAGTGGTAGCGTCGGACAGTCAGGGACGGTCTCGGAGCACAGTGATCCGTGAGCAGCTGTAAACTTTCGGTCAGTAGAACTGCACTTGGGCGTCTGGTGCCGCCAAATTCCGGAGCAGGGAATACGTCCGTCTACTGCACAAACCCAGGAATACTGCACGCTCGTTGTCTGCCGGAATCCTGTGAGAAATGACGTGCTTGTCTAAAACTTTTGCGTTCTCTTGCCACGCGTCCCCGTACTCTTCAGTAAATGCTTCCAACTTTGGCAGGGCGCCGGCGCTACGTCATCTTTCTCGGCACAGAGCAAAACTGTTCACTCACGTTTCTCCTGGTCGCCAGTTGTTACAGGTGTATATTTACGCAAATAAATAAACAAAGCAGCGATCCAGCGTGGCCTGCAGCCGAGATCGTCATGTCGGCATTCCATCTGCCTCCGTGCCGCCCGCGCTCTTTCCCCACTAGCAGCCGCCAAGTGCGTGCCGCTAGCTTCTGCGAGAAAAAAGACAACATTTATTGCGGGGCTTTAGCTATGATGCAGAGTTTCGTGGACCCGTAGAGTTCCTTCCCGGATCCCAAAAGGTCCACGGACCCCCATTTGAGATCCGCTGCTCTAAAGGGTTCACCACACGGTGTGACCGGCAATGTCATAAAGAGTAAAGTTTTCATAGTTAGTGTTTCTCTCAAAGGGTTGGCGGTCTCGCCCGCTCGGTTTTGCGGCATTGTAACGTGTGGTCAATCTGCATAATAGTTACTAGTAACAATATTGCTAGGTTTCGGCATTTGATTGGTTGGTTTATCAAATGAATATTCCTATGCATTTTGTGGTATTTAACATGTCGCAATCCGCCCTGCAAAAACTGCCTGTATTGAGAATTTAAAGAGCCAAGATATGCGGGCGCGATGATTAGAAAACAACATAATCTAAACCCCCAGGCATAATGAAGTAAAATAACATCCCTGTATACTATCTATTTATGTCTGAGAGTTTTGATTTTGCCCTATGAATTAATATTGACGAGTGAATCTGTAACAAAGACAGACTTAAAAATTATGGAAGCATTTATACGTTTATCTCGGGTTTATCTTGGAACCACTATTCCGTCATTGGGAACTGATTGAATCAAACGGCCATGTTCTTGGTCGCGCTGTCCTTTAAATGCACAAAAGACAAATGCAGTCCCCGACGTCTCTCTTTGTAACCGCCGTTTTGCGAACAGTTTCCACCGGCTTCGGGAAAGAATAATAGCTTTCCGTAGTTTGTACGCAAGAGCCTAGCACTGCAAGCAGAAGCCCGTGTCGTCACGCTAAGAACGGATTGATCCTCCGTCCGCAATCCAGAGCGTAGGATCTACGAGAAACCACCTATGAATAAGACATACTGGTCCATTGGTAGAAAGAATTTTAGAGTGAAACGGCATTTTTAGTTTAATGCACTGACTTTGTTATCGTTGAAACTACATTATGTACGTGTGATAACTTGAGCAGACGACATTCCAACGGGCAAAGAGCGCTTCTTTATTGAACGTGCTATACTTATAGGCGCTTGTCACGTGACATCCGTGACCGGGGTGCGCACAGCCGATGCGCCGTGGTGCGCCGTGACTTGCAGCGCCACGCTGCTACATTCCTTCCCCCTCACATCAGCTTCGGAAGTCCTCCGGTTTGTACCTGTCCGGTGGACGCCGCACTCGCGTACTTCTTCTGGAAGTCGGTGCCTCAGTACAAGGCTCCGGTGTCGTCACTGGCGCACTTGTGGAACTCGGTGCTGGAAGCGGCTGCTGACGCGTCCGTGTAGCTTGTTGACCGCCGGCTTGAGAGTCCGCTGGCATAGCAGCAGAAGCAACTTGTGGCACCATCGGCTGGGTTTCTCGAGGCACCGGAACATCTGGAAGCGTAGGCTCCTCCGGCGTAGGCGGTGCAGCAAGGGACGTCGGGCTTGCAAGGCGGTCTCGGATGTGGTCGGCGTGTGTGAACCGCACAACCTGAGTGATCCATCTTTCTTGTGAATTACAACTACCGGAGTCGCCCACTCACTGTGACTTACGCGGCGTAAAACCCCGCTCTTCTCTAGCCTGTCCAGCTCTTCTCCAACCTTATAGCGTAACGCGTAAGGCACCGGTCTCGCCTTGCAAAAAACCGGCGTACAATCTTGTTTTAGAACTATCTTCGCTTGATAGTTGTTCGTGACACTAGACTGATTAGAAAATACTGTCGGGAACTTGTTACGCAGCGCTTCTATTCGGTGTGAATCAGTTACATGCTCCAGTGACATGACGCTTTTCCAATCAAGTCTGAGCCTCTCAAGCCAGTTCCGCCCCATGAGCAACGGCAATTTCTTGCCTTGGTTATCGACGACGATAACGGGCAGTTTCAAAGTCTGGTTTTCGTATGTGACGGAAACGTCACATTGCCCTTTTACCGGGATTCGTTCACCCGTGTACGTTTTTAGGTTTACCCGAGATGGCTCACACTTGACATGAGGGAACACGGTTTTCGCAACACTTTCAGGAACAATTGTTACAGCCGCTCCTGTATCAATTTGCATGAAAACGTCCGCCCCTTCAACATTGACTTTCACTTCATAACCCGAACGCACCGTGTTAAGGCAGTGATAGACGTCCAGTTCTGAATCGTCCTCCGAGCAGTCCACTGCATTCGCGTTCTTGGGTCCCTTTTTCTCGTTCGAGCACACTTTTTGCAAATGGCCTAACTTGCCACACTTGTGACACGTAGCATTCTTGTACCAACATTTGCTTGCCGCATGCGCCCTTCCACATCTTTCGCAAGACTTTTTGCTTTGCTTGTGTTTTCGAACGTCACGCTTATTGACGTTATCTTTCTGGTTCGCTCTTATCTCGTTCAACGACGCGTCTTTGCTTCCGGCGTGTAGTAACGCTGTCTGTCGTGCCGCCTGCTCTTGATCCAATGAGATCTTGCATGCCCTTTCGAAGGTTAAGCTTTCTTCGGCGAATAGCGCACGTTGCGTTTCTTCGCGCCGTATTCCCGCCACAAGCCTGTCCCTCAGAGCATCTTGCAGAAACTGGCCAAAGTCACACTTCCTTGCCAAATGCTTTAGCGCTACAATGAAATCTTCAACGCTCTCCTGTTCCTCTTGTACACGTCTGTTGAATTTGCACCTTTCCGCTATGACCGAGCTCTTCGGGCTATAGTGGTTTTTCAGCAAAACTTTCACTTCTTCGAACGACTTATCTCCCGGTACTGCCGGTACGACCAAGCTTTTCAGAACTTCGTAAGCTCGAGGTCCTATAACGGTCAAGAACACCGCTAGCTTCTTTTCTGGTTTGATGTCGTTTGCGCTAACGAAGTGCTCGAAACGCTCTAAATACGAGTCAAAATTCTGTTGTTTTTCGTCGTATTCGTCAAGCTTTCCAAGAGGTGCCATATTTCGGCAAACCGACGGTGTACTTATCGGTTGCTGGCTTCCGTCCGTCGTGTCCGCTCCGTCCGTCGCCCGCTTGAGATGCGATGACTGCGCTGCTTTGGCTGTCGCTGTCCGTTCAGTTGGCCCCGCTCGTATGGTGCTCGTCTGCTGCCGTCTGCGACGCTTCCGCTGGGCAGCGCGGGTGCGTTGTCATTCTCGTCGCCAATGTGATAACTTGAGCAGACGACATTCCAACGGGCAAAGAGCGCTTCTTTATTGAACGTGCTATACTTATAGGCGCTTGTCACGTGACATCCGTGACCGGGGTGCGCACAGCCGATGCGCCGTGGTGCGCCGTGACTTGCAGCGCCACGCTGCTACAGTACGAATAGGCTGGCCAGAACCATGAGGTAACAGCACTATCAAGCCTTACACTCCCCACCGACGTCCTCTTTAGTCTAGTTCCCCCTCCGTCCGCGAGAGGGCAAGTGCTGGGCTAGAGTTGCAGATAGCTTAAAATAGATCTTCAGGCCTTTTCTATTCACATGTGTGATTCATTATAGAGGTAGAGCGAAGCTCAGTCGCAGTACATGCTCTCACTAAAACACGCCGGGGTGACACAGTGTATCTCGGCCAAATGCTTTGATTCACCGACTTTCAAAAGTAACTTAATTACAACAATTGGATTAATTGGAATGTAATAAAACAGTCATGCCCCGTCGAAGCGGAGCACTACGTTCTGCAATAAGGCATTTATAATGTGTTCGTATTTTGTTTTTTCAATGTGCTCAAAATAGCGAGACAATAACCCTTGCATTTGCCAGGTTCGTCCTCAAAAATGAAATGAGAGATTTTTATTGTAATAGAAATACACAACCCAAGAAAGTTTTTGGGTGCTGACCCTTGTGATGACGACGGTATTCATCAGGTTTTTTCCTGAAGTATACGGTGTCTGAAACGAGTTTCTGACTGGAGTGTTTACTGTGTCCCAAAAAGCTGGTTTCTTGATTTCTTCCTGATGACGTCATAGAAATGTCGTGCTGTCGCAGGCCGCGATTTTGGCGGTTTTACAACTGCGGTGGTGGCTGTGGAAGACTTCCGTTCTGCTGCAGGTCGCTCTCCAGCTTCAACGTTTAAGGAAGCTTGGACAGCCAGCAACTGGGACACTGCGACGACAACGACCATCGCATTCCCCCTCGCTCTTTCTTGTGAGACTTGTACGTCGAACCGCCAGGATCGCGATATCCGATACCATGACACTCCGCATTCTTTGACGTCCTTTACTGGCCTTTCGCGACCACTTTCGGTACATTGGCGGAATATGACGTTCAACCCAGCGGTTGGATACGCGTTTCTTCAGGCACCGTAGATTGAAGTGCACATCACACCATCGGGCTTCGTGGTCCTTTCAGGCGGAGTACTTCTACCACAAATACCTGAAACGCAACGGATCAGGGATTGCCGCTTTCGACGTGGAGTACGACGACTTCGCCAACCTGTGTGGTCAAGGAAAATTTAAGCGTCTGAAGGCCATAAAAGACGTTGTTGCGACCAAAGCCTGACGGACGCCACGTCGTCCGAGATTCGAAGAATGCGCCAAGAAAATAAAAACGCGGAGGATTCCTGAGTGCCCGGGGACTCCACAGTTGCGAGCTCTCGTTGAAACGATTATTGGGTTGACTCGTGTCGAGGTGCCTTTTTCTTATTGCACTTGTCGAACGCGTTGGAACGCGGAGCGCTGGCGGCCGCCTTTTGCTCTTGCATTCGAACGCGTTCAATGAGTACAGCCAAGCCAAAGGCAGTTAGCATTTTACCTGCCCACTACTCGCTCGAACCAGGTTTGCCCTTGCGGGCAAACCTGGTTCGGGTTTGCCCTTGCGTTCTCTTCTGCTCTTCTCCCTTAGTTCACACACGCTGCAGTAAACATTTTTCTACCGTGCAGAGTCGCTTGTTCTTCATCGCCCCGAGAGCGCCTTCTAGTACTAGCTTATGCGTTCCATTGCTTAAACCTATAGCCTTTTCAAAACGATAGCCAGAAGCATTGGTCATCGACATTTCTCGTGCATGAAGCGTGCAATAATTTGACTTCGAATCTTGCCGAACCATGACGCTGTATTAGTATTTCACCCGAGTTGATTAAATTCCATCTGTGCGTGTTGTAACCTTAAAAGAGAAGTATGTTTCTCACATTGTTCCTACCAAGCACGTAGCCAGCATTTTGATTCGGGGTGGGCCCGCCCATGACAAAATCCTGTATGAGGGGAAGGAGGGAGAGGAGGTCCCAGCAAGACAAAATCTTCGGGAGAGGGAGGGGGGGGGGGGGGGGGAGGCGGGCCTCATTGTCCCCTTCCCAACCCCCGGCTACGTGCCTGGTTGCAACGCTGCGCAAAGTACTTTTGGTTGTAGGAAGAGATTATGCTATTGGCCTCTGAAACGCGTATGTTCTGATATGATAACCTATAGCTTAACAAAAATCTAGCTACTTACAGTCTCACTTTCAGCATAAAGGGGAACATTGGTAATAACCCGCGAAGAGCCCAACTATTTTTACTACGGTTATTGATAAGGATACAAAAATAGTACGCAGCGTCTGCTGGTATAGTCCGGATGAGCGCCATCGCCTGCTACACCGTCGGCTCTTTCGCTTGAGTATTACCCCTGTCAGACGGGCTAGTTTAGTGTCACTACAAGCGAGTGCACTTCAACCCGTCGAAACAAACTCCAAGTGTGTTGGTGCTACACGAAAAAACTTAGTGTCACTCTAAAATGCTGGCAAATGACGATGGGTAAGTAAAGGGAACCCTAAATATTACAATGCATACGCATTTGTTTTCATAAATAACTTCGTCGTCTTATTAGAAACACGTTACCAGACGTAGTTGCGATACGTCACGATCTTTAATCCAAATTTAAATCCAATTTGATAATTACGATCAGCCATTACAAGCCAGTGATACATGTTCTCACGCCGGTATGATGCCTACCCAGGTTGAAACGAGCAGGGGTAGGAATTTAACCCAGGATTCCTGGGCTCTGCAGCGCGAGCTTTCGCTCCGCGTGCTCCGAGCTAGTGGGCGCGAGCCCACTCGGCCACTCGACACTCGCCACAACGAAACTACAACGAAACATCATAAAGTGTGTGGAGGACGAGCTGGAGGGCGATATTCGCGATGTTGGACAGTGGAAGCGCGTGGTTGGGGCACGTTTCTCCGTGAGAGCCCGACGCCTTTCAGATGAGAGGCAGCTGGACCTGGGTACCGACGCACAGGCAAGAATTTCAAGTGACATCGATCAGCAGCTTCAGGCCAATGCCTTCACCATACCCGCTCCCATGACCGACAGCCTACCCGTGATCAGTCGAGAACGGTAGACTTTCCAGAGGAACGAACGGTGGTTCCAAAACACCTTTCCCCTATTAGGCGAGTTCCATTTCAAGCAAGTCTTTCGCGTCTCTCCTGCCACCTTCAGATTCCTGGTGGAGTCTTGCAGGTGCCTCCTGGTCGTCGCTGGCCGTCGCGCAGGGGCCAATGCTGGAAACTAGTTTAGCCGCTTGTTTTTCTAAAATATACTACTTTCCTGCCACCAGAAAACAAGTGCGCATCAAATATTACTCCTATAAAAATAATACTAATTTTACGCAGCGTTAATTTCCTCTATTATTTTTTCTCCTTGAACACTGCTATCGAAATTACACACTTTGTCTACCAGAGCGAGCGTAGTGTGCTCCCCGAACTCACTTCATGAAAGTGTGTTCTTCCGGCAGGGCTGGGGATTGAGCTCAGGATCACTGGGTTCTCCAGCACGAGCTTTCTCCCCACGTACTCCGATCTGGTGGGCGCTAGCCCACTCGGCCACCGATACCCCTTAATAACGACATGTTACAAAAATTTGCCGTTTACAATCCTCTGTAATGCCGAATCGGAGCTCAGCCTTCGAGGAGGAGGGGGGAAGGGTACGAATGGGAGGGTATGCAGCCGCTCCCCCTCCGTACCCTCCCAACCTCCTCTCCTGTTCCCATCTCACTTAGCGTAAAACATTCGCTAAATTTCCCGCTAAATTAAGCCGGGAAATTTTCCCACTGAATTGACGTGTGACGCCACATGACACGTTACCTGATATTTTAAGTGTGACGTCACGTGACGTCACACGGGTAAAATATTCCCTCTAAATTTAGCATAAAAATTTTTCACCAAACTTAGCAAAAAATTTACCGCTAAAATTAGTGGAACAATTTTACCCTCGTATACAGCAAGGTTAACGAATGTGCTCTAAACGAGGCTTTTACGCAGTTTGTTTCAGAATACGAACACCATTTTTATGAAAGATCTGTGGAGTCAAGCTGGAAATTACTAAAAGACGAATTTAAGCAGTTGATGTCTCGATTTGTGCCTCAAATTGTGTTAAAAACGAATGCTGATCAACCCTGGTTCACGAATACCCTCAGAAAATTAAATAATAAAAAAAGCGTCTCTTTGCCAAAGCTAAAAAACCAACCTTGTATCTGATATGTCAAAGTACTTGAACTGTTTTAAGGAATTCAAAAATAGCATAAAAAAGGCGAAGAACAAATACTTCAAACAAGACCTGCTAAATTTATTATTAACCAACCCTCGGAAATTTTGGAAAACAATATCTCCAAAGAGGGATGACTCTCTCCCTAAGCTGAGCAGCGACCTCAACGAAGTATTAACAAACCTTGAATCAGCTACCGTTTTTAACAACTATTTTTCGTCCGTGTTCACCGTAGAAGACTTACCAGTACCCTGTGATCCGATCTGTAGACCACTTAACATTTCTTGTGAACCTATTGTCTTTGACCGAAATGGTATCCTGAGTGCAATCGAAAAACTCTCCCGCAGCTCAGCCCCTGGCGACGACAATATTTGCCCTAAACTTCTCAAACTAACAAAGCACATATCATCTTATCTTCTTTGTAGACTGTTTCAACAATCGCTTGACTCGGCGACCCTCCCGGAGGACTGGAGATTCGGGAGAGTTCTACCTATTTTTAAATCCGGAAACAAGCAGGACTACTCGAATTATAGACCTATATCGCTGACAAGTGTGCCATGCAAAATTTTTGAACATGTCGTCTACTCCCACATCATGAACTATTTGTCGGAAAATAAATTAATATGTAACAACCAACATGGTTTCAGGTCGGGATATTCATGCGAAACCCAGCTTTTTGAGTTTGTAACAGATTTGCATAACAATTTTCACTCCTCTAAACCCACTGATGCCATCTTCATCGACTTCTCTAAAGCATTTGACACGGTTCCTCACCAGCGACTTCTATACAAACTTTCTGAACTTAACATCCATCCATCTCTTATACTCCGGATAGCTGAATGCTTAACTAACCGTAAGCAAGCTGTTCACCTTGGGCATGCCAGATCACCAAGCCTGCCTGTACTGTCGGGCGTCCCTCAGGGCAGCGTTCTCGGTCCGCTTTTATTTCTTATATATATTAACGATCTTCCTCACCAGATAACATCATCTATTAGGCTTTTCGCGGATGACTGCGTAATTTACCGTCGCATCACTAACCCTGAAGATTCATTACTACTACAGCAGGATCTAAATGTTCTGTCTCATTGGTGTAACACGTGGCAGATGAAGGTCAATGTAACCAAGAGCAAAATTTTAACATTCACTGGTCAGCGATCTCCTATTGTACGTAACTACACCTTACAAACACTGCCTCTCGAAAAAGTACCAACTTACAAATATTTAGGAGTAACATTTTCTGATGACCTAACTTGGAATACTCATATTGACAATGTAGTGGCTAGTGCATGCAGATCTCTAGGATACATCAAACGTAACCTATACCCCACTCCCCGTTGTGTTAAACTAACTGCCTATAAGACTTTCGTCCGATCAAAATTGGACTACGCCAACTTTATTTGGTGGCCTCATCAATCATATCTCATTACTAAACTCGAATCGGTACAAAACAAGGCCTCACGTTTTATAACACACAACTACTCGCGAACGTCAAGAGTAACTGCACTAAAATTCAACCTCGACCTATGCCCTCTATCTCAAAGATCTCAACTTGCTCGTCTTGTCCTTTTTCACAAAACTTACTATTCCTCTTCTGATTTTCGAAACACCAACTGTCAACCATCACCTCACATCTCCTTGCGTCATGACCACAGCCTAAAAATTAAACCTCCATTCGCCAGAACTAATAAATTCCAAAATTCCCCATTTTCTCTCGCTGTTACTAACTGGAATTCCCTTCCTGAATCCATAGTACGTGAATCGAACCCTAAGACATTCCGTGAACTATGCAAGGCACACCTGAAAAGCGTTGATCCTTAACATGTTTATCTGCTAATTATTTTTTATGCATGGTATGTTCTGATATCTGTCCAATTAGTTTGTAGTTCTTTTGTTTTCTTTTTGCGTTTTCGTATTATTTACCTTGTCGTCACTTTTTTGCCATCTGTATATGTCATTTATTTGATCCCCCCTCATGTAATGCATTTCATTTGAAATGCCTTTGAGGTAAAATAAACTGAACTGAACTGACGTCACACGTGACGACACACGT